TATAAGAAAATAATTAAATATTACTATTAAGCAAAATATAAAAATGTATTTTTTGTATACATGTCCATTCTTACAACTATTCATTATCGCATTTTATATAATTCATTTTAGGACTTGATGTACGACTGCTGGCTTCAAGCAATTTTTTATAACGTTCAACTAAATCTCCAATTGAACTTCTCTTTTGTTTATTTTGTTTAGTTTTAATGATATTATTATCATAATTATTTTTAATTTCTTCTCTTATTGTTTCACATATATCAAGCACATTATCTTTATTTGGGAAATCATTTATCACATTTTCCATTTCTGATGTTTTTCCCAACTTATTGTGTTTGACACTGAGTTTTTCAGGAGTAATAAACTCTACATTTATACTAGGGAGACTATTTGCTGAAATGTTTAGACTGAGTTCTGATATATCATGCATTTCTTCAATTGTATTTGTAATTGCAGTCGAATTTGCTTTTGAAGAACAGGATATAGACATTATGCTTGAATTTGCTGTAAAAAAAAAAGGCTTAACATTTTTTAAGCAAGTTCTATATCGTTCACATACCTGTCTTTTTATTTCTCTTCATGCGGGTAGAAAATAGTCGGGAATATTTTTCTGTTTGTTTCAACGATGAAACATTTTTTCTCGATGATATTGTATGTAGATGAAAAGATTGTTTTTCACTATTTGTGGTTGTCATTGTATCATCAAAATTAATTCGTGACACCAACAAATTTTCTCTTAACTTTGATCCATGTGATACATGGTTTTGCTTTAAACGTTCATACCTCGAGAACAATGATTTATATGCAGCTAAAAAGTGTTTTTAAACAAATTATTAAACATTCAATACTCTTTTATTATTTTACAGGCAGCTCTAGTCTCACCTTCCACTGGAGTTAGTTGTAATCGTTTCTGAAGATCATTTTCTTCGTCACTACAATTTGTATCAATTTTAATAAGGGGTGATAATATTATAAGCATATTATTCATTATAGGTAATGCAGTGTCATCATAAACCTGTATTACATTTTTTTTATATAGAACATCTTGTGTTTTTGATATCTCATTGGTGATATCTAACAAATATGATTGGAAAATATTCAATACTGCTTTTACATCTTTGTTACTAGCCTCTATTTGTAATAAACATTCCGAAAAGTCGTCTAGTGTATTTAATTTTATCTGTTTATGTAATTGTATTAAAAGAAGATTGAATAATGTAATAAAATTATTTAACATTACTTTATCATTTTTATATAATTGAAATAGAAGACACTGAAATTTAAAATATTTTTTGCATTACTCATTTGTATTTTATTAATATTTCTTAATGAAATGCTATTAAATTACTTACTTGCATATTTGGAGAAAATAATTCAGAAATTTCTAAATGATTTACTTTTTGCAATTGTGTTGCATCTAATATTTTAATATCAGTACTATTACTTAGTATTATATTATTTATGTTCAGAGTAAGCTGTTCTGTATCTTTCAAAGTTACATTTTTTTTTTGTATACGATTTAAACCTTCACTTATATTCATTTTCCACACTAAAAGTAATACATAATCATCATTTTTGGAAA